TTTTTTTTTTTTAATTTTTACATACTCGCATGATTAACGAGAAAAAAACTTTTATAATTAAGTGTAAAATATTGCACGAAACATAAATGAACCGATTTCATGCATAGTGAATTAATAACAATAAATAACAAACATTTATTTCACTTATCTACTGCATGAAACACATAATTACACACATTTTCTAAAGTAACAATGGAAGCAGGGAATAAGCAATTTCAGGACCCTTTTTTATATTTATAACATTAGCAAAAGCGGGCAATGAAATAACATACAATATTTTGACATGAAATTATCGACTAAACACTGATTTCTATAGATGCTCAGGTTTATAACGATTGCATTCATACTTTAATTATTTTAGACTAAATATATATGTATTTCTTAACCAACGCAGTACACATTTTTCAAAATATTATACATTTTGCTGGCATGTACATTTTATTTTGCGACGGAATAACATTAGAACTAATGGATTAACATTGGTACATATAGAGTAACATAGTACCAATACATAGTACAGTAACATAGTACAGTTACAGATTAAAATTCGAAGAGATAGTTTCATAAATAATACGAATAACATAATCGAGAAATATGTATTTATTCAAATTCAATACGCTAGACTATCTACAAATTTTCAACTACGTCAAAAATAAAAGTTATTGTTCATATATTTATTTCCCGCGGATGCTTATAAAATACATATTAATACTACGATCAGTATGAAATATTTAAAACCAATTGGATAATATATTTATAAGCTGTACTTTGTTAAATGTGACGATTGTGCGCAAAATAAAAGATTAAATATATTTCTGTTGTATCGATCAATTTTTCTCGAAACATAATAAATGATACTATTTTTTAAGAATTAATTTCTAGCAGAAGCATAAAAATGGACAATTTCCATAGTTACACATTGATTCGAATAGTTTTAAGAAAACGCAATTTATACCATGCTGAAAAAACACAATGAGAAACAAAGCATGCTTGATACATGCTGGGACATAGCAAACATACATTACATACATACATTAAATAAAATGATGGAAGCATCATGCAAGACAATAAGTCTCAATCATGATTTCTAAGACGAAAATGTTTGCAAGCTAATTACAAATCTATACACATAACGAGTAACATACAAACGCGCGCGCATATACGCATACGCATACAACAGCACTCTCTTTTCCATTTCTTAAAATATTTTTTCGTTAGTAGTATTTTCCTTTCTTTCTCTTGTAAATAGATCTCGTTCTTTAAATCATCTTACTCACGTACAATTCTACAATTTTCAAATAATTATATAAAGATTGTTAGCCTAGAATACACATTTTATATATATATATATATTTACAGTTAAAATTGATTACTAATGCAGTGCTGTCCAAATTACACTCGCGAGTAAACCAACATTCCAGTCACTTTTATCACAGAAGTCAAAACATTTGTTATTTATCCAGTATAAGAACGAGTTTTTATACTCCGAATATTAAATACGGATGCTTTCTTTAATCTAATCGAGTGGAATTAATCACATTTTGTCTTAACTGAAGAAAATATTTAACATAAAAAATTTTAATACATTTTAATACATTAATACATCAAATAAAGAAAACATATGATAAATTTCCGAATAAATATTTATCCAGCTCTAATACAACTCAATTAATCATTTAGTAATAAAAATGTACATTATTATATTTTCTTTTAAATAATTTTCAGAAAATTATTATTATAATATATACTTATTGATTTATTGATTAATCAGGATATTTGATATAATTTTGTTTGATTAATTTGTTCTATATTCTCCGTAATAAGTTTTATTAAATCAATCTTAAAATTCTAAATTGTTATGATTTCCAATAATCTAATACTAATTAAGAATTAATTTACATGTGATAGAATAAAGTTCAAACACAATTATAGATTCTTTCCTATTAGAAGAATCTCAACCACCTAGCAATAACAGATTAAAAAGAATCTATAAAAAAAAATATAAAAAATATAAAAATTCAAATTTATCGAATTTTTTTTTATTTCTGGGATTATTCTCTCATTCTCGGTATGGCTGGATTCATTGCAACAAATTTAATGAAAAATAATACACTAATTTATTAAATAATCTGTAAGAAATTGCGAAATGCGTAACTAAAAAGAAAATTAAGCTGCATAACGAATCTGGACAGCATTGAATTATTGGTTTTTTATCTCATCAACTTATCCCTTTTCATTTCTTTTTTCTATAATATGAGATTTCATTTAAAAATATCAACATAACAATTAATATTATTCTGTCTTCTTGGTTAAAACTTTTTCGAATCGATAGAAATTGAAATAAATATGCATTGTATGTATTGTATGCATTTCTGAATGTAATGTCAATACCTAATGGTACCAAATAACTGAAGAATAAAAAATCATGAATCGTTTAAAAATTTTAACTCGTTAACTTAGAATCGGACATGCAAGAAAGTAACAAAATAACATTTGATCGCTGTATCATCGTAAAATTATAACTATTTGTAAAATGTAATTAACATATTTATTTTGAAACTGAAATAAAATATAACTTATATAATTTAAATTAAATTCAAACGATTAATTCTAAAAATTCTTCTAAAAACTAAAAAAATAATCTATGCTTATATACTGATAAAACTATCGATTAATTCTATATAAATAAAAACATGTATATATGAAGTTCGATTTAATTGTTAGTTCAGAAATTAATCTTTGTTACTATTTTCGCAATAATTACTTCCATATCACAATATTTCTTACGTCAAAACTTTTATAGCCTGCATTTATACGAAATGAGATGTTGCGAAAGTACAAGAAACATTCTGCTTGCTAACGATTCGCTTGTATGGAAACAACGATGTCATTTCCTTAACTTAGAGAACAAAAAGTCAAAATGAGAAAGAAGGAAAAAAAAAAAGAAACCGTGATGAGATCAACCGTTGAACCTGCGTTGTGATATGTATAATGTGAACGTAACGAAAATGACATACATAAGACACACTTTCACAAATCTTTAACTGCTCTTTTTTTCTGAATCCCGCGGTGTTTCGCTGCGACGATCGTAGCAACATTAGCAGTTTCCCTTCACAAGGTGATGTAACGTAGAAACAAGACGAATGTCCTTAAAGAAATTCCATGCGGTTAATCCTCCTCTCTCAGGTATGGAATTTGAAATAATGATAAATATCATTGTAGCGATATAAGGTTTCATATTTTCATATTAAATATCGTAGATCACTCGAAAGGAAGGAAAGGATTAGTTCCAAAAGAAACGGAGCAATAGTAGCAGTGGCGATAATGATGCTGACGATGATATTGATGACAGTAATGTTAGTGGATGGTACTAGAAATAGCGCACTCTATTCGTATTGTTGGATATTAGGATTCCTGAAAATGAAAGCAACTGTTTTTATATATGTTTTCTGTCTCCAATAATTGATTCTGCTGCTCGTTCAAACAATATATTATTCATAATACACATAAACTTATAATATACAAAATAATATTTCGATATGAAATATTACTTTATATCAAACTCGTTGCAGCAACACTTTTTTACGCGAGAATCACAACAATTTTTATTAAGGAATATGCACATCAATTTTTACACAGGAATATGCCCGTTTCACTAACTTCAATTTCAACAATACTTTTTAATCATTCATAGGAAACTATTTTTATCGTATTAATAATGTGTTTCTTTCAATCTTTCACCATCTCCTTCTCCCTTTTTCTTTTTCTCTATTCCTTTTTTTGACTTCGCACTTCTTCCTTTTATCATTTATTCAACTTACATATTGAATAATTAATGGACATAATAATTTTAATTTTAATTTGAGGTTTTATTCACAAGAAGTGAATATATATTACACACTATAAGATAAACCTATAAAATTGAATTTGTTTCAATATAAAATTTTGCCTTATAATTTTCTGTAAAATTCTGTTAAAAATTTTCATAATGAAGTTAGTGGAACATTACATAATTTCATTAAATGTCATCGATCGTATTTTCTATTTTAATTGGAACTGAAAGGTGGAAAACAGCAACAAACCATAGGATGATACTAGTAAAAAAAAAAGTGTATATTATTTGTTAGTAACAATACTACGTAAAAAATTTTAATAAATGTAAACTTTTACTTTTCTTTATAAAATTCAAAGATACTAATTTACTTATTTGTAGCATGTAAATACAAGTTATATTAGTTAATATTGGAATAATATTGTTAACAATAGCCATAGTATAATAATAATGACAATAACAATAGCGGCAGTAGTATTTTTAAAACGATAACGAACAACATTTTTGTATAATTTTTAACCCTTTGCTAGTAATAAAATAACATTTATACATTTTAATTAATAAAAATATTGACTTTTCTTTTTTAATTATAAAATATTTCTCTCAAATCGTTTTCACTAGATATGACATCTTTCTCTTCTCTTGCAGATTGCAAATTCCATCTACTTATTTTTAAATCAAAATCGAATTATATAAATTAAATACATTATAATATAATAAAAAAATCATTAATATTGTCGGAAGATAATTGTTATGAATATTAAATGAAACCCTTTAGATGCTTTAAGTTAAAATAAATTAAAATTTTTCATTTTTCAATTGATCATATTTAAATAATTTTTTCAACTAAAATTATTCTGAATTCTTGAATATGAAATATTGTTATTACAGAAATTTTTGTGAAATAATAATATTCCATCGTCTAACGATTCATCAAACTATCTCTATTCAATATTTAGTTTAGAAATTCTAAACAAAATAGAAAAAACTTAATCTCTAAGTATGAAACTCAGACAGAACTATAAATTACTGATATTTATGATTACTTCGAGATGTTTAATCCAGTATTAACGAAAGCTCTTTGCAAAAGGATTAAAGGAATAGATTCAAGGAGAAATTTAAAAATCCTATATAATTCATATGATACTATTGTATATGTACAAAAGATATGATTACAAAAGTGTCAATATTTATCGTATGATTTGAAAATTAAACAAGATAAATCGAAATCATTGCGTTGTTGTTGAATTTTCCAAAGTTTAAAAATGAGCTTGTACGATAAGAAGGTGAATAAGATGTAAGTTATATAGCAAAGAGTTAGGTATTGAAACACATTGTAATAATGATAGTAAATGGTTTATAATGAAATCGATTAAAAAAACTCTGAAAGTGATTAACGTCTCGTTTTAATACTACTTGACAAATACCATGGAAAAATATTTTTGTGCACGAGAACCGAGGAAAAAAAAAATTTTGTGTTAATAACACGGAAATGTGTTTCCCTTTCCTATGTTAAAAGTAACAACAATCTTAAAATACTATTAATAACATGAAATGATGTACTGTTAATTCCATTATATCAGGTATATTGGTTAGAGATCTAACGTTCCTCTATGAAGCTTTGTGCGACCTTGTCTGAATGAATAATCTAGTAATATAGTGGGAGAGATAATAGTAATACTGGTAACAGAATACTGATAGCTCTAATAGTTATGTATCCTACTCATGTCTGTAAATCTGAAGAAATAATAAAAACAAGGAAGGTAACGAGGAAATGCGCCTAAAATTCGAGCGTAGCTGACTAGCTTTCTATGTCGATTTTTATATGCTGTTAGATATATTGGAAAAATT